GGGTGACCTGAGAAATGTCATTACACCCCATGAACAACCTACCCTCGGTGGACCATATTTGCACACCCCTGCACACACACTGAGTCCCTGTCTCAATGCTCAGGGAATGAGATCTCAGGTCCAGAGAGCTAGCACATTTAGTGTTCTCGGTTACCTCTGAACTGTGGCATTTTCTCCCAGTGCATCAGGAAGTTGGTGAGCCAACTCTTGCAGTCTCCCATCGAGGTGATATAGAAGAACTGATTCACATCCGGGTCGTGCTCCCACTTCTCTTTCATCTGTTTGGCTCCAGCATAATGCACTTTCCATGTTCTATTTTCTGCGTCAAATGTGAGGAACGTCTCTTCAGTCGAGCCAAAGTCCCAGGATCCGGTGGTGTGTCCATTCGCTTTGTGCTGACAAGACATTTTGACCTGCAGAAAGAGAGGGTCTGCCCCGTGGGAGAGCAGTTAGGCCTGGGCTTGCCAGATCCTGTGCCCCAGCCTCTCCCCTCTCTCTCTCCCCCTTCTTTTTACATGAAAGCAACAAATGCCTGCCACTTGCCTCAGAACTGCTTTCTGCTTCCCTGGGCGTTCCAACTTACCGCTAGTTGCGAAAGCCTCAGGTAGATTGGCAAGGAGTTTCTTTGTGAGTTCCTCTGCCATGTAGTGTACGGTTTCTATCTGTTCACGCCAGGTGTTTGTGCCATGTATTGCCTGTCCCAGGGTACCAAAGGGTTCGGTGGCTTTGTTGCCACAATTGTAGTGAAGAAAAGTCATTTTGTCTACCTGGCCTTGAACCGTACACCACTGTGGCTGATGTCTCGATTTGGGAGCGATGGTGAAGGTATACCAAAGAGAGTGAGTGTCTGTGGAGGAGAAAGCCAGGTAAGGGCTGAATGGGGACAGAGGGACTTCTAGACACTCCTCCCACCCCCACTGAGACAGTAGGAGACTCCCTCTGAAGGCCTAGGCTGGCTCAGCCATGTTTGGCCTTACTGGATGGTCCTTACACCAGGTCAGGGCTGGGGCTCCTCCCTTGTTTGAGCAGGAGGAAGGGAGGTCTGTGTCCAGCAAGAAAGTACGTGTGCCCAGTTCTGTCACCCCTACACTCTGCACATATAGGTCGACACAGGACCTTGCCAGGGAGGTGTCTGCCTGCTATGGGAGGAGAGGTCTGGGTGTCAGAGCACCCTCAGGAGCAGCCCATGTGGGTGAAAGGGGGGAGACTGGAGGGGCTGCCCTGGGGATGCTGGGACAGGTTGGGCACTTGATTTGAGTTTGATAAGCAGAGTGCATCGTCATGGGTCACTGGCTTTACTAGGTTGGCACAGCCCCTGGCGTGATGTTCATCTGCTATGAGGATGTGTTGGTAGAACCTCGGACAATGGTGTGGTCCACAGGACATGAAATAGAAAACCCAGGACTTGTAAGGCAGGAGGAGAGGAGGGGACCAGGACTGAGGGCAGGTCACACGCTGAGTGGATGGGTATGAAATCCCAGAAAAATGTCCAGTCCACTGTGGTTGGGAGGAAAGCCTGGGGGCCTCTTTTCTACTGAGCACAAAAAGAAAGCACAGTGAGAAGGGCCTGGCCCTGTGAAGCAGCTCAGTGAGGCCTGTTAATGAAGGCCACGCCAGGCACTAGGATATGGTGTTCCTGAAATGGCTCCTAGTAGGGACAGGGATGAAAAATCCTGGAATAATGTGAGCAAGGATTGGCAGGAGCAGGGCCAGGGGGAACAAAGAAGCTACACAAACAGGTGTCCCAATGGCCAGGATGCCAAAGTGTTGTCTTAGCACCTTCCTAAGTGGCTGCACAGAGTGACCATTGGCACATGTTGATCAGGAGGTTACTGCAAAGATAGGAGCAGTAGGGCCCAGACCATAGGACCCACACTCCATCACATCCCCCCACTCAGAAGTCACAGACTTGCTTCTGCCTCTTCACCCTGGGGATGGGGCACCAAACACTGGGACACTGTGTGTATTCTACTCCAGCATGAAAAAACTAAGACAATGGCAACTTCTGGTCTCCCTTTTTTATGGAGACAAAGTCTTAGTTCGTCACCCTTGGTGGAGTTCTGTGGCATCATGGCTCACAGCAATCTCCAACTCTTGGGCTCAAGTGATTCTCTTGCCTCAGCCTCCCTAGTAACTGGGACTACAGTCACCTGACATAACACCTGGCTATTTTTTGTTCATTTAGCAGGCCTGGGCTGTGTTCAAACCCACCAGCTCCAGAGCACGTGGTTGGCGCCCTAACCACTGACCTATAGGCAGTCTTTTTTGTCTTCTTTTGCTCTACAAAGAGACTGTACTTGACACAGAAAGACCCACCAGCCTGCAGGGAGGAACGGGTGGGCCACCTGGCCTTTAGGGAAACCTGTGCTGACTCCCCTCTGAGCAGGGCTGTTCCATATGATGCTGTCTCCCCAGGGTAGGTGGATGTGGGACCC